TTTTGTTGTAATCTGTCACAAGATGGAAACCATAAAAAAAAATTGATACATGACACGATTATGAGAAGTGATGCAACGCATTTAACATTTCACCCAGGCCCTTGGTAAGTTGTTATCTTGTACCATAATCACAAACAGGATTTCCTATAGATTGTGTCCTATGGAGACCTCATTATCAACGTCAGTATATACTGTTGAATACTTTATTTTTGCTTGGAATTTATTTTCGCTAAAGGGATGGTTCCGTGAAAGTAAAATCCAGTGAATATACTTTTTTTTCCTATATTTCACATTAAACTCATCAAAAAACAGTGAAAATAAATTCCATACAAAACGCTCAAAAAGCCTTTTCAGCGAAAATTAATTCCAGCGAAAATAAAGTATTCCACAGTAGCGCATTTGCTATGCTTTCAGTGTCCACATTTCGGTGATGGCTGTTACGTTGTACTAATGACACAGGAAATGTTTACAACTATTGCTGTTTTGAAGAGTTGCTCTAACAAAAACTATTTTATCTATTACTGATTTTGTTACTGGTAATTACAAGTGTCTGGTTACTCGGTTGCACAGTAACTACAATTTTCGGAGCACCACTATGTGCTCCTAATATAGCAAATGCAGTGTGTGTATAAATAAGACCAGAAATTGGTCTCACCACTGATTCTAAAATTCAAGCTTAAATTGCAAAGATATTTCAAAATGGCTAACACAAAATGGGTAAATGTTGTTTTATCCAACCCTACCTTCTCGAGATGTTGCCAAACTACCACAATATTTGTGCACAAGTTATATATCTCTACTAGCACTCCATCAATTATTAGATCGCTAATATCTTTCGCAAAAGGGGGTGTCAATGATTCTAGAATTCAACTCTGAATTGCAGACATATTACAAATCTGCATAAATAATTGTATAACTTGTAATGAAGGGTCAGTATTTTTAGAATTCCTCCCTGAATTGCCAAAATTTGCCACTGTAATGCACCTTTTAGAATTCTTCCCTGAAGTGCAGAAATATGACTAATCTGCCACAGTTATTTATGTGCATAACAATAAGACAATCACCACGGAAATTACGTAATTATATCTTAGTAACGTTTAAGTTTGTACTCGTTGGTTTGCGCAACAGTAAAGTCACCATCTTTGTTCATTCGAGTCCCATATATCGCGCATGCGTGGCGCGACGACCACCACCCTTTAATGAGCTATATTTCAATCCTAAATGGCCAAGATATACCACAGTGATTTATTATGTATATGCATAATTTAAATCGTGGCCAATACCTCACTCCAGAGGGTGTCAGTGATTCAGGAATTCATCCCCGAATTGATGAGGTATTACAAATATGTCCCGTAACATATGTACATAAATAGATTGCAGCCAAATATTTAGATCGTTAACATCTAATATGTGCATCGGGAAAATGATAGGAAATAAACATTCAAATTAAATGACCCTGTTTTTAGCCCAATTGCATTACGTTATTTATGTTAGTTCTAAGTTATTGGTAAAGTGTGACGGTCGTAACAGTGCGACTTATACAACCAATGTAAAATGCTGATCACTGCAAGACTGTCACTGCTTATAGTTCACCAAAGTACTAGTATATACTTGGTTAAAATGAGATGAGGCAAGTTGAACTTGACCTGAGAATACAGACCGTGAATGTCAGTTTCACGAGGCTGCTAAATGACATTATTGTGATGTAATCAGCTGACTTAATTAACAACTTCCATGGTTGTGACATTTATTAGTACAAACACATTGATACGACACCATTGATTGCGAGAAGACAGACAAGTTAGAAACTTTACGCTGACCAGATACACTCGCTTGCGGCTATCTGTATTCGATCCGGCAAAAGAAATGTGCACTGCCACTTGAACTTGGCTTTAAGAAAACTTCCTTGGAATTAACTTTGTATTTAATCCTATGTTCTCTAATTTTAGCATTTTAATTGTATTTTTTAATTTTGTGACAGTGCCTGCCGCATAATTAAACAAAAACATTTCTCATAGCAAAAATGTATACTACAAGTATTAATAATAAATTTAAAAATACTTAAAAAAAAAATAAGTAAATAATGCCGTTATGTTATTCTTGGATGGTCCCAGTGCCTACAGTTTCAGTTCCATGTGGCATTGTTAAAACGGTTACCATTCCTCAAAGTAAATGAGACTTATTTATTGGAAACAGTTGTACACTGATTTGTGGTTTCCGATTTTAACATTTCAATGTGTCAAATCTCAGAATACTATAGTAATTGAAGGCTCTGGTCGTCGCGCCGCGTCCTGTTCGATATGAGACTCATAGCGACGTATACAACGCGTGTAAAATATGTTGTTTATTTACATGAAATTCGAACACTCTGTGCGACGACCACCGCGCTTTAAAATATATATTTGTTATGTAAATCCTCCTGAAATTGATATGCGTAACGTTAAAATTACTGAGTGGCTCGTCTCGTCGGGTTGATTGAGGGCGCTATTGTTATTGCTGCAGTTCGCCGTGCTGTGTCGTTGAATCAAAATACAGTAGTAGTGCAACCACCACAACAGTGCTGTCAATATGCAGGTTAACATACAGGTACGTTAAATTGATTATTATCAGTGTCCCGTTATCTGAAACACCGTAATTATTTATGATATCAATGCCCTAGCAACGGTCAACAGTCGCAAATACGCATTAAAATGCCGCTTTTCGTCAAAACATCGGAAGGCGCTGTTGCTATGTGAGGTCACTGTAAATGATAAACAAATTTACGTCGGGTAATGAGAACAGTAAATCTTGCTGCATATTTGTGATATTGTACATGATTATTGGTAATGCACGGGGTTAAGTGTGACAGTGATATCGTATCGCTGGTATCATTGTGAACTGGCCGTTACGTGGGGGTACATCTCATGTGTAGAGTGGTCGATATACTTGTATATACAATGACTGTATACGGCACGGACTAGTTGTCACTTCCGGGGGTGTTTCTTATGGGGACAAGTATATATTATGCCCCCCCCCTCCCTGGGATAACACAAATCAATTCTTTCATAGACTCACTATTTCACATTAGGATTTTTAAAAAAATGTAGGTTTCTCTTGTGAATCCTAATTCATGGGGTTTATTTTATTACTAGTAATTCTCATGTGATCTATATCAAAATCAAATTTGTAATCACTTCTCCTATGGTAGGGGGTGGGGGTGGGGGACTAAATTAGTAAAACTTTATTTAGATCAGTTTTTATTTTAATTGTATTCATTCTATTAATTTTTTTAACATTTCTTTTTTAACCTAATTATTATTTTATTCTTATTTTTTATTATTGTATTGTATTTAGAATTGTCTTTGTCTTGTAATACTTTTTATTTACCATAACTGAATCCACTGATGGTTCGGTAGTGTAAAGTTATTATTATATCGCATAACCTAATTTTATAAATCCTTGTTTGAATATATTTTAAAATGCTTAAATAATTTTGTTTGACAACTTGATAATTTGTCTATGTGTATAATTTATTGTAAAATAAAAAATGCTCATTTGGTGACAAGCATAGCTTTGTTTTTCAGATAAATTACTAAAATTCTAGTACACTTGTACTTTGAAATGCTTGTACATGAAAGTAAATCGGGAGCACACAGTGCCACACACACAATATCGATTCTTTTTTTATTATATCAGCTTTAGACAAATTTCACTTGGTGTTTGTTCTATTTTTTCAGTTCACTGGCTACCCACAGCATCCTACCTACCAAGGTAACCCAGATCCACTATATCAAACATTTGCAGCAGTTGCAGGACCTGTAAGTATAGGACTATGATATCAGAGGGGGGGCACGAAATTTTTCATGAGGGGCGAGATCTGAAATCTAGACCCTCTTAAACACTATTTCCTGCATTTTGAGAGACAAATTTTGCTGACACAAAGAGTTTTTGCTTGATTTCGAGGGAGGTGCTGTTAATAGACCTTATTCTATAAATGGTTGCAGAGATCTCTCAATCGTCGTTATCGTGACCACTTTTCACCTGGCCTATTTGTAACCATGGTATTTTGATTTCATTTCATTTACCTTTCACTCAGGGGGAAAATGTAGTTTACTCTCACTATACATGCAAGTTTATTGTGAGATTTGAGATCGACATTAGATCGATCTATGCCCTTAATATTCTCCACCCTTTGTTTTTGTAAATTATTGTATTTGATCTAAGGTCCATTAAAAGACCCAAAAAATTAATGGTTTGTATTTGGTCAGTGTGCACATCAGTTCTAAAGGGGATGCTCAAGACTTCATAGTCCCTGTTTGGGCTTAGTCCACAGTAGCCGACGAGTCATGTGAGTTGTGCCTTTCGTCGTACTCCAAACCCAACACACAGTGAGGACTGATGCCGTTTGGCCAGCGAGGGCGCTACTACGCCTACATGCTGGGCTATTTAGTCCACAGTATTTCCTCATATGCTAATTTGAGAGCAATTGGTATTTTCTCATTTCTTAGGATGGTCAAATCGAAGCAATGGAATTACAACAATGTTTGACAAGATCTGGTGTTCATGGGAACTTATCACGTAATAATTGTTTATTTACTCATACATTATACATGTTGCATTTCTCAGTATTCTCTCCTGGAGGGGGAGGGGGAGGGCGTGACTAACAGTGGAAATTGTCTCATTCTCCCACATACATGCTTTACAAACACCAAATAAGAGTAATCTGGTAAATTTAGTAAATACTATTGATGTTTTTGTTTTTTGGAGTGAATTTCCCCCTGTTATTTTTTGTTCTACCTTAATTATATATTAAATAACAAAATAGAAATTTTTTTTTTATAAGATTGTAAATAAATAATTATCATATTTTTTATTCTTATCTAGACAAAAGTACATAATATATAAGCTAGGGCATATAATTAGGATAGAATGCAATGAAAATCCTATTGTTAGTACGTGAGTACGTGATCGGATTTCACATTTGTGAAATTTCTGCACAATAACATAACTAAACATTCATGTATACTGCAATTGTTAGATCTAGTAATTATTTGGGTTGTCTACAACTTGTGTGAAAAGCACAGCTGATAAGTTATATTTCCTGATTCTTTGATGCATGGACGATTAGACTGGCAGCGGTATAACTACGAAAAATTGACCTGGGGAAATGAAATAGCCATAAAATTTGAAGCAAAAACATGCTGTTTGGCACACTGAATACAACACTCGAAACAACCTGTGAAAACACTTTTTTTTCAGGTACTACCGGTACCATATATTAATATTGCAAGAAGCATATTTGCTCTATAATCACTATGGTTACTGACT